GAGTTCGAGCAGCACATAGATATATAGCTCTGCAGGAGAATGTAGAGTAGTCTCATGCTGGAGAATATGGAGATTCCCTGCTCTCAATTTCAACCAAACAACCTGGCTCCTTAAGAGGCCGGGCACTTTTGCTTTCAGTTTTATTTTTGCTGGAGACAATCAAGAGAAAGGCTTTCAAAATACAAGCTTCATGACCCCACAGGCACACAGGTAATAAAGCAACCCAAGTCTGAGGGTATATTTATTTTGGGTTTGTATGCATTGTTATGTATAAAGTGCCTAGTTTAAATTTAAATTTAAGTTTAAACATAAATTGCAAGGCTAGAGTCCGGTCATGCTGACTGGTGAAATTTTTGACTGGTGAGATATTCTATTTTTTTCAAGCCCTGCAGATACTGAACCTTTTAAAAAGTATTTTTTATGGAAACCATTATTTTATTAGTCTCTTATAAAAAGTAATGTATTAGTGATTTGAACAGCGCTTGAAAACTTGTTCATTATATTTGCACATACTAAAACTAGTTCCTAATGTGTTCTATACTTTTGTAAGTTGGACAGTTACAAAAAGCAAGTATTCTGTATTTTAAAGCATTACTGTATTGCGGATAATTTTAAAGCATTACTATATTGGGATAATTATTCTGGTTTGCATGTATTTTGTGGGCTACCATGTTGGAAGACATGCATGCTGACCCCCTACCCCGGAATAAAGACGTGAGACCAGAAATTGGATTAAACATGGGCCAACACTTTATTGAATATAATCATCCAACAGCGCCTCCAACAGCAGCTGCCGCCGCCGCCTCTTCCAAGGAAGCAGCTCTCTGGCTCTCTTTCTCTCTCGGCACCCTCAGCACCAGCCCGGCCAGCGGCCGCCTCAGCACCCAGCGGTGCATCCCCCTCCTCCATCCTGCTTCAGCCGCCTCAGCTCTGGAGGCTGCCTGGGCTTGCCTCACAAAGTTTGCTCCTCTGTCATGGTGGGAGTAGCTGATGCTGAGCATGCCTTTTTTTGAGGAGGCCTTCAGAGGGAGGTTGCCAGACTTCCGTGTGTGTTTGTGTGTGTGTGTGCGTGCGGGCACCTGTGGGGGGCCGCGCCCCGTGCTGTTTAATTTCACAGGTACCGATGGGGGGTATTCTCCTTTGGCAAGGCGATTCTGTGAGTTTTTTTAAAATTACCGTATGTTGTGCCCTAGGCACTAGACGGTTGCCAGCACTCCCTCCCTTCTCCGTTTCTTCGTCCTGCTGCTGCTGCTGGTAGTGGTAGTGAAGAAGGAGCTGGAGGGGGTCATGGCCGGCGACGAGGACTCGCGTGCCCCTCCTCCTCCTCGGATCCCCAGCCAGGCTAAGGAAACTCCTGGGCAGCTTACTCAGGTTCTTGCTCCGCTTGGCGGAAAATCTGATGCAGCCCAGCCTCACCCAGACTCTGCCTCCAGCGGCCCCCAGGTAAATTGAGTTTGAGACCCCTGCACTAGAATATAGGGTGGGCATGTGGGATGCCAGTAAGAAAGAGGAAGCAAAGGGGGACGAACAGCCCTTAAGTAGCCCATCATTTCCCCTCTTCCAAAGCTGCTTATACGAGACTTACCAGAGATCTTGCATCCTTCGAGGAAGATGGCAAAGGTAAGCCATGCTGCTGAAGCTCTGGCTCAGCGGTGGCTTATTCATTGCTGATAGTTCTGGGCTCCTGCATGATGTCCAGTTAATACCTTTGTTTGACATTGTTGTTTCTTTCAGGAAAATCTTGTATTATTATATTTTTTGTTGTTTTGTTTTGTTTTCTTATTAATTGGCCACCAGAATGCACCTTGTAGTCAACAGGTGTGTTCTCCATTTAAATATTTTTGTTCGTTCGTTTAGTCGTTTAGTCGTGTCCGACTCTTCGTGACCCCATGAACCAGAGCACGCCAGGCCCTCCTATCTTCCACTGCCTCCCGTAGTTGTGTCAAATTCATGTTGGTTGCTTTGCAGACACTGTCCAGCCATCTCATCCTCGGTCGTACACTGGTGTTAATGGGGCTTATTAGAAGATTTTAGCTTTTTCAAAACATCACAGAGGAACAATCCTGCATATCTAGTGACAGTTCTCTCATTTCATGGCTTCCTGCAGCGTCTTCTGCCACTGGAGGGTTTGACTAACATAAAGATTTTTCCAGACATTACAAACTATCATGTAGCTTACAAGAGACAAATTGTTTCTTCATATGACTTATATAAGTAAAACATAAATGGCTCATACATCCTACTAGCTTCTGTAGTTAACAGTCAATTTAGGTTTTAAGAAATTCTACCTGCACCAGTAAAATTGTAGGTCTGGGCTAAATGTGGTTTGTTTCATATCTCTCATCACACACACTGAGAATCTCAAAATAATTTTGCATTCCTTCCTTCCTTCCTTCCTTTTCCTTTTCCTCCTTTTCCTCCTTTCCTCCTTTTCCCCTTTTCCCCTTTTCTCCTTCCCCTTCCCCTTCTCCTTTTCTCCTTCCCCTTCCCCTTCTCCTTTTCTCCTTCCCCTTCCCCTTCTCCTTTTCTCCTTCCCCTTCCCCTTCTCCTTTTCTCCTTCCCCTTCCCCTTCTCCTTTTCTCCTTCCCCTTCCCCTTCTCCTTTTCTCCTTCCCCTTCCCCTTCTCCTTTTCTCCTTCCCCTTCCCCTTCTCCTTTTCTCCTTCCCCTTCCCCTTCTCCTTTTCTCCTTCCCCTTCCCCTTCTCCTCCCCCTCTCCCTGCCCCTCCCCCTTCCTTCCTTCCTTCCTTCCTAATTCTCATGTATTCCCTACTTCACTGCAATTTTGTATTTTTACATTTGACTTCTCTAATTGCAGTTTATCTGAGCTTCCCCAAGGCCAATGAGGGCCTCTATTGCATAATCCTAAAGTTATTTTCAATGTTATGATTTGTCTATCCTTGACTATCACAGTAAATAGGACAGTCTATTGGACACTGTTGCTGCAAGGCTGTATGTATTATGTGATGGACTCAATATTCTGTGACACACAGCTTTCTTTAGTAAAAACAAAGCAACCCCCAAGACATATATATTTGGTTACAGTTTGTTGAAATCCAAGAAGAAATTAAGTTTGGGCTTAAATGCTTAAAAGATTCTCCCCAAGTATTTGTATAATTTGTGTAATGTGTTTAAGATACATAACTTTCCCCCCCTCAAACACAGGATATGGGCAAACATATGCAATATCCTGACTAGTAAAATACAGTCTTCCTTTTCTAGAGTTCTATTGTGCACATCATTGTAACAGTTTAATTATTTCTCTACAGTTCTAGGCTTAGAATAGCCACCTCTGTCATTTATATTGTTATGCTGCATCTTTACTACTATTTTATTAAGATGTCTTTGTTCTGTAAGTTTTTTCAAAACTACATTTTACTAAAAATAAATACCAGGGTGTGCTTATGAAAGGCTAGCTGATCCCTTTGATCTGACTCTTCACATATGCACACTGTAATTATTTATTAAAGACTTCTTTATGTAATTTTCCATTAAAGCGATGAAAAGAGAATATTAAAATTAAGACATGAATATTCATGCTTGCCAAGGCAAATTGGATGAACCAAACTATCTCTTATGCACTTGCCTTGGACTTGTAAATGAAAGATATATTAGTGGAATGCTGTCCTTGTTGTGTGCCTCTCTCTCTATCACTGGGACAGTGTACCTCCTGTAGCAAAGCAGAAGTGCTAAAACCACTCCAAATGTGGTATATGAGTAGTGATCAATTTCCTGAGAATTTCCACGCCCTTGTACCTCTTTGGGAAGAGCCATAGCTCATTGTGTTATTGGAGTACACGCTTTTCATGCAGAAAGCCAATGGTTTAGTCTTCAGGATCTCCGGCCAAAAAAATAAATGAGATATGATATGTAAGACCTACCTCTATCCTTGACTACTGAGCATCACTGTCAGTAATAGTAAACTGAGAAAAGTCTGAAGTTCTTGACAGGGTATGGGCAATGCCTGCTGAAATCTAAGGATGTGGTTTTCTGTGTTTGAGGCAGAGGTTCTGTGCTCTCTGTGACTCCTTCTCCCAGATACAATTGTGAGAAGTAGAATTGTGCAGAATGTGTTGAAACGTATAGAACAGTGTTTCCCAACCTGGGGATCAGGACTCCCATAGGGGGCCCAAAACGTTTTCTGGGGAGGTTTCGGATCACCTCATATGTGCTGCAGTCCTTGTTAAATAATTTCTTCCTTGATCTTTTAAAGTAGGATATTAAAGTTTGTATGAGAAACAGGCCCTTTGTGGGAGAAAGAAGCCTCTACTTTCTCAGAAGGAATGACCAGGACTATTTTTTTTAAACAAAAAATGAAAAAAAGTAAAAAAAGATGCCAGTGTAAACATATAAGTGCTGCCACTTCCTCAGGAAATGGATTCTAACTATGACATGTCACTTCAGGAGAGCCTGAAGAAGGGAAGGAAAAGGAAAAAAGAAGAATAACTCTGTATAACAACCCCCCAAGGAGGGGGACACAAAATCAAAGGGTCCGCCTCTTTCGCAACAAGTGCAATGAAAGCTTTGTGCCAGTTTCAGGGGGGATTCCCTTTGCACTGTTTTGCCCCCTCTCTGGGTACTCCAATGTTCTTCTGCTCCCGGCCCATCTTTGATGCCCTTTGCCTTCTCTTCTCCCTACCTTTACCTCCTCCAGCCTCTTCCCACCCCAGCTTTAAAGTGCTGGCAGTGGAGTCAGCAGCAGGAACAGAAGAAAGACAAGTGTCATTATCATCAACGGTGCCACCATGTCAGGGAAAGATGATGGCAACAATCTTTTTATGAAAATGTTGAAGGGGGGGTCACAAGTTATTTGGCTACTATAAAAGGGGCTCACGAATCAAAAAAGGTTGGGAACCACTGGTATATAATGTACCATAAAGAAGAAAATATGGAAATATTTTAATCCACAATATTCATATAGATGCAAATTTTGTATTTGAATTCCTTGGTAAACAAGGTATTAGGTTCAGAATAATAATATCATTTGGAATTTTTTTCCCCAGATCCACCTCACCTTTTCCCAGCATTCCATCCTCCTGTACCAATTGATGCAAGACATCATGAGGGACGTTATCATTATGAACCATCCCCCATTCCTCCGCTACATGTGTAAGTATGAACATTAGTAATGTAAAAGTATTAATGTACCTTAAAGAAATATGAACACACAGCAATCACTGTATTGATTTAGACAACTAATGGAAATGTAATACCTGGTTGGCCAACAAACACATTAAAGGAATTTTCCTGTGGTTATTGGGTTGCAAGACATTTTCAGGATGCGCTCGCCTTGCCCCAGATTTGTGAGGCTTAATTGTGATATGGCAGTCTGTACATCTTCAGATCATCTTTTCCACCACCTTGCATCAGTAACTGAAAATAGTTACAAATGATTCAAGATTTGATTTAACTGTCTTTATCGTGGCTCATTGTCAATCACAGAACTGCAAACGTACAAACTGGGAACATGGGAAATGGTTAACTTTCTGGTACAGTTCATAATGGATACCCATTGCGGTGTACTGGATAAAATAACAGACTGGGACCTAGGAGTCTTGAGTTCATATCCCCGCTTAGTCTTATAAACTCACTGGGAGTGCAGAAGTGGTGAAACCACTGTTTAAGTATCTCACGTTGAAAGCTCTGTTAGGTACGTTATAAGTCGATTCCAACTTGAAGACATAACAACAATAAACAGCTCAGAATGGTCTTGCATGTTGTCATCTGCTTAGAAACATAGAAATGGCTACTCAGAAAGCTACCTAATATATGCCTAGTGTGCTTTAATTGCTTGATGCATGCTTGTGCTGTTATTATGTATCATCAAATTGCATAAAATAATATTAGCTGTGGGTACAATGGCAATTTTTATATATTTTTAATTGTATTTTAATTGCTCTAAATGTTATTGTATTTAATAATAATAATAATAATAATAATAATAATAATAATAATAATAATAATAATAAAACTTATGGAAATCCTAATAATGGTATGTGAGATATTTAAGGAATAGTTTTACCAGTGCCATCCCCAAGGAAGCTTCCATAGCCACAGGAATTTGAACCTACATCATCCGAATCCTACTCCATCACTGTCCATTGTACCGCACCGGCTGTGTACTAGTGTGTGCATTTTTTGCGCATGTTGTGACACCTTTAATTGAAAATAATTTGAGATTTGATATGAAGGGCAATATTGATGTTTCAGCCTTTTGGGGATTTACATTCCCAGGTTCACAAATAACATCACTGCATTTAAAAACTGTGGCATTTGGCTTTTGTTTCTCTTCAATCATACTACTCCACACCTCTTGCCAGTTGGCTTTCTGCAGAGATCTGCAGATTCCTCTTTCACCCAGAATATAGAACTGTAATTTCATGTGGATTTAGTTAGAAAAATGAAGCCAGGATCAGTTCAGTTCAGCTAGAGAACATGGACATAAGAGGGAAGGACTGAAAGCAGTTTAAGGCTCAGAAAGGAACATGAAGGAGGAGAAATAAGGAAACAAAGCAGATGTGCAAATTACAGGAAGGCAAAGTCAGTGAACGCCTAATGTGAGCTACTGACAGGCATGTGGCAGCTTATTCCTACTTCCCTTTATGAGATTCCTTGAGGAGCTGAAATGAAAACGGGCCTTCTCAGGAGCAGCAGTACAGGACTGAGGGGCAAGTTCCTTTCAGCTAGGATACTGTTTTTTGGTAGCAAATCTTTCGTATTTGAGTTACAGAAAATGACATTGTATCCTTGTACACATGGTGTTCTACATGTGAGAAGCCATTTGCTTTTTCTTGTATAAATTTGCCCTGTAAGCAAACATAAACCTGTGCTGAAGTACACATTCAGGTGATCAGCCAAGATATGGAACTTTTCTCAATGTGTGTAAATATAGTTGCTCAATATCAAAAGCTTTTGAAAGTGACTCATATGAAAGCTAATGAGATTTTGGTAGATTTTCTTAGTCACTGACAGTTGAATGCTCATGTTCCCAACCCCTTGATAATGTTGTTGTTTATCCAAGAAAGCACCAAATGTGACAGAGTACACAGTTTACACGATGAGAAAGGAAAATAATTGTGATGGCATGTTTTAGGACAGTGGTTCTTAACCTTTTTGAAAGAAACGCCCCCTTGAGCCATTGAGGAAGTTATCATCGCCCCCCTCGCCATGGTGATGATATCTTATTTATTTATTTGTTTGTTTGTTTGTTTGTTT